AGGGCCTACACAGAGAAATCCTTTCTTAAAAAACCAACCAACCAACCAAACAAACAAACAAACAAACAAACAAACCACCCCCCCCAAAAAAAATGAAAGTGAAAAGAAAAAAAAATATCTCATTACTGAGGGCCGAAGGTGTCTTGCTCAGCATTGTGTCATGCCCTCTCCACCATCCTCTGTCCCTTGACTCCAAACAAACAAACAAACAAACCACCCCCCCAAAAAAAATGAAAGTGAAAAGAAAAAAAAAATATCTCATGACTGAGGGCAGAAGGTGTCTTGCTCAGCATTGTGTCATGCCCTCTCCACCATCCTCTGTCCCTTGACTGGCACATCACAATCTCTGTTACTGTGTATCCACCAAACTCTACTTCCTGTGTGAACACAGGCCAGACCTGCTTGGCCAGCTGACCTACTTCTCTGCTACACAGGGGAAACACATGAGTTTCCTGTCCCTGCACTGTCGTCCAACGATACTCAGGCCCAACGACCTCTAGCATGGGCAACTTGTTGGGTGCCTGAAATGGCTGTCCCCTGGCTCTGCCAAGAAACCTCTGGGATTGGTTTGGCCCCATGATACCACACAGGTCTGAGAGGAACTTGTAAGAGGTCCTCACTGAGGTCCCTGTGGCACCAGAGAACTAGAGAAACAGCTTCCCGGTTCCACCACTCCCCAGCACAAGCTTCTTGGCGTCTCTGAGTACCTGTTTTCTCATCAATAAAATGTCAGTCTGGGGCTGGAGAGATGGCTCAGTGGTTAAGAGCACTGACCGATCTTCCAGAGGACCCGGGTTCAATTCCCAGCATCCCCATGGCAGCTCACAACTGTCCATAACTCCTGTTCCAGGGGATCCAATAGCCTCATAAAGACATTCATTCATGCAGGCAAAACACCAATGTACATAAAATAAATAATTTTTAAAAATGTCATACTGTCTGTGGTAAAGGACGGAGGTGAGAGTGGGGCCATGGGCGCCCCTGCTTGGATTTACTATAGATGTGGTTCTGCATGCAGATTGAGGCCAAAACTTGCTGTGTGCTAGGCAAGTGCTCTCCCTCTGAACTACACACACTCCATTCCATTTAGTTTGTTTTGTCTTTTTGATTTTGTTTTTTTTGGCAGGGAGACAGGTTTCATATAGCCAGGGTTGGCCTTAAAAATCACTCCATAGTTAAGGATGACATAAACAGACCTCCCCACTTCTGCCGCCTTAGAGTTCAGAATACAGGTCTGATAGGTCATGCCAGCTTGTTATAGTTTTATTTGCTTTGTTTTTATTACATCTTATCTGTTTGTGTGTGCATGTATGTGGTGGGCCTGGGCTGTCCCAGCACAACGGAGGTCAGAGGACAACTTGCGGGAATAGGTTTCCTCCTTCCACCCCGAGTCAGCCTGGCCAGCAAGCACCTCGACCTGCTGAGCACCTCACTGGTGCCACACTTCATCTTTGCCATGCGTTTATTTATAAAACTTATTACATTTATTGTTTCACGTGGCGGTCAGAGGATAAGTTGTTGGAGTTTTCTTTTTCCTCCATGTGGGCCCCAAGAATCCAAAGCTTGCCAGCCTTGGCGGCAAATGCCTTTATTTGCTAAGCCGTTTGTGTGTGGGGGAGTGGAAGTATTCAAGATGGGATTTCTCTGAGCCGGGCGTTGGTGGCGCATGCCTTTAATCCCAGCACTCAGGAGGCTGAGGCAGCTGGATCTCTGTGAGTTCGAGACCAGCCTGATCTACAAGAGCTAGTTCCAGAACAGCCTCCAAAGCCACAGAGAAACCCTGTCTCGAAAAACCAAAAAAGAAAAAAAGGTGGGATTTCTCTGTAAAACAGCCCTTGCTGTCTTGGAACTCACTCTATAGACCAGGCTGGCCTTGAACTTAACAGAGATCTGACTGCCTCTGCCTCCTAAGTGCTGACATTAAAGATGTGTGCTACCACAGCCTAGCAGGAAGCTGCTTCTTGGGCTTCTTATTTTTATTTAGTTATTTATAGATTTTGAGGCAGGGTCTCAATTAGTACAGACTGGCATTGAGCTTTCTTTGCATCCGAGGATGATTTTGAACTTCTGATCCTCCTGACTCTGCTTCCTGAGTTCTGGGGATTACTAGCATGTACCATCACACTACTCCTGGTTTATGCTATGCTAAGAATTGAACCCAGGGCTTTACATATGCTAGGCAGGCACTCCATCAATTCAGATATATCCACAACTCTTATATTTTGAGGTTCTAAAGGTTTTAAAATTTATTTATCTTGTTTGGGAATCCATGTTTTGCTTGCATGTATATTGTATATTTGTTCACTGTGAACATGCCTCGTGCCTTTGGTGGTCAGAAGAGGCCAGTTCCCCTGGAACTGGAGTTACTGATGGTCGTGAGCCATTGTGTGTGTGCAGGGAGCCAAACCTGGGTCCTCCGGAAGAGCAGCCAAATGCCCTTTACAGAGCAGACATCTTCCAGTCCCCACTCCCAGCCTTATTGTTATTTCCCTTGAGGTGCTGGGGATGGAATCCAGGGTCTTGCCCTTTTCCCTACTAGGTGGGCAAATCTGGTCAAATTGCTCAATCTCCATGCCTTAGTTTCCTCACCTATGAAATAGGCGGAATAATAGTGCCTGGCTCATGAGTTTGGCATGAGGATTAAAACTGTGCCTGGCCCACAGTCTGAGCACATAACACAACAGTCTGTTTGATCCTTCTGTGTACAGCAAGTGGAAGACTTTTTTTTTTTTTTTTGTTATGAGCTCTGCCCTTGAGAGGTCACACATAGAAGTGATTTTTCTGGTCATACAGGCTTGTGTTTGCCGTTATGAGCTCTGCCCTTGGGAGGTCACACATAGAAGTGATTTTTCTGGTCATACAGGCTTGTGTTTGCCCTGGGTCAAATGCCGAGCACATGGACTCACTGTGTTGAGTTCAAGCCTGATGCTGGAAATGCCTGTGGCATTTCCCCTTCTCCGGGCCAGTGGGAGAAGGAAGGCAAGCCGCTGTACTTTGGATTGGGAGGGGCTCAGAGAAGACAACTAGACTGAAAGGGAAGTGGAGTTTGGGGAGGAGCATAATTGGAAAAGAGCTTGATTGGGGATAAGGGAAGCTGGAAGCAGACCACGAAGGACTTCACATGGCTGTATTACAGCTGCCCCCTGTGTCCCAGCACCTCCCAGCTTCTGTCCTGAACAGTTTCAGTTAGATGAGACTTAACACCTTGGAAATGCTGTGGTCTGGGTCTGTCGGATACAGTATGGCTTCCCCTGGAGGCTCTGAACTGTGGAGGCTCCAGATTCTTGTACTGAAGAGGATATTTATTTGAGTGTGTGTTTTTGTTTGTTTGAGATAGGATCTTGCTATGTAGCCCAGGCTAGCCTTAGACTCTGGGTCTTTCTGTCTCGACTCCTGAGTGTTGTGATCATACCACACCCAGTTTAGTTCTTATCTTCCCTAGAACAGCTGGGTGTGCTCCTCCTGGGCCATGCAACTCTGAGTAGCTCAAATAGACCTGGCAGGGCCTCTGCCCAGGAAATTCTAACAATCCTAGCAGACATCCTCCTCATCCTCCAGAAAGCTACTTACCTCTGGCTCCTGACTGTGTCAGACTCCATGCAATTCACACTTCATTTCATTATATCCACCATCCACCCATCCACCCCCATCTGCCCAGCCCCCAGACCAGGGACTGGAACAAGGGAAACAAATCAAATGGTTGTCATAAACAAAATATCTTAAGAATAATGGCTGGCCAGGCGTTGGTGACGCACGCCTTTAATCCCAACACTCGGGAGGCAGAGGCAGGCAGATTGCTGTGAGTTCGAGACCAGCCTGGGCTACAGAGCGAGTGCCAGGATAGGCTCCAAAGCTACACAGAGAAACCCTGTCTCAAAAAACCAATAAATAAATAAATAAATAAATAAATAAACAAACTTTTAGGGTGGTAGTGGTGCATGTCTTTAATCCAAGCACTCAGGAGGCAGAGTCAGGCGGATCTTTATGAGTTGGAGTCCAGCCTGGTTTACAAAGCTACACAAAGAAACCCTGTCTCAAAACAAACAAACAAACAAAATCTTTAAAACTTTACTTTTTATTGTGTGTGTGGCACACAGGTGCTCTTGTGCCACAACAAATTTGAGAAGGTCAGTGGGTAACTTTGAGGAGTCAGTTTTCTCCCCCGGATTGAGACATGGTCTTTCTTGCTATTTCTGCCATGGTAAGTATTCTGGCTAGCTGGCCCACAAGTTTCAAGACGATTTTCCCGTCTCTGCCTCCTATCTCAGTGCAGGCGGGCTGGGATTGCAGGTATGTGCCACTGCATCTCCCCCCACCCCCTCCGATTTAGCTAACCAGTATCCTTTCCCCAGGAACCATGACTTTCCCTGCTATAGGTTTTTGACCATTCTTACATTAATAAGCATAGATTGTCTCCTGTAGAGTGAGCTTCAAATCCAAACAGAGTGTGACTGGATCAGTTACCCCATACCAGTAATGCCACTATTATACAACTGGACACATCCTGCCTGGCTGATTGGTCTTGGAGTTCACGGGGTTCACAGCGAGGTAAGATCAGTGATGCCTTTTCTCCCCAAGCAACTTGTGCAGCGTGTTCTGAGAGCTCTGAGACTGTGAAACCTGGCCAGCGAGGGAGGAACTTCTGAGAGTTCTGAGACTGTGAAACCTGGCCAGCAAGGGAGAAACTTCTGAGAGTTCTGAGACCGTGAAAGCTGGCCAGCAAGGGAGAAACTCCCAGCTCAGTTGCAGCTTCATTTCTCCATACCGTGCAGCCAAGGAGCTCAGTGTCTTCAGCAATACGGTCTTATCTAGTTCTGGTGGGCAATTTCTGTGGTGGCTAGTTTTTTGCCAAGGGTCATCTGGGAAGAAGGAACCTCTATTGAGAAAATGACTCCAAAGCCAATGAGAAGGCTCATCAGGTAAAGGAGCTTACTGCCAAGTCTGAAGACCTGAGTCAAATCCTGAGACCCAGGTGATAGGAGGAGACAGCTTTCTTCTATCAGCTGTCTGCTGTTCTCACTTACACACACACACACACACACACACACACACACACACACACAGAGAGAGAGCGAGAGAGAGAGAGAGAGAGGGCGAGAGAGACACAGAGAGGAGATGCCTCTATCAATTGGCCTGTGGAGCATTTTCTTTCTCTTTTGCTTCCTCCATGTCCGGCTGGCAATTCTGCCTTTCTTCATCCCTGAGATCTGTCCCCCAGAAGTCCCACCTAACCTCTTCCTGCCTAGCTATTGGCCATTCAGCTCTTTATTAAACCAATCACAGTGACACATCTTCACACAGTGTAAAGGAATCTTCCTCAACAATTAAACTAAAAGAACAACTAAGAGCTGGGTAATGGTTGTGTGCCCCTTTAATCCCATCACTCAGGAGGCAGAGGCAGGTGGATCTTTGTGAGTTCCAGGTCAGCCTGATTTACAGACTGAGTTCTAGGACAGCCAAGGATACGCAGAGAAACTCTTGTCTCAAAAAACCAAAACCAACTAAGAGAGAAAGTCTCATGGAGCTGAGCCTGACCCAGAAGGTCTGATTCTCCCGCCTCCACTGCCCTCGTGAAGGCACTGTTGGTGTGCTCCACCACACCTGGCTTATGATGTGCCAGGAACGCACCTGCATTCAGGGCTGCATGATCTATGGGTAAGTGCTCTACCGAGCCACATCCACCACTCGCCTTTGTTCTTATCATTCAAGTCAGGATCTCAGGTAGCCCAGGCTGGCCCTAGCCAGAGCTGTGATTACAAGCATCAACAGCTATTTATGTACGAGCTGGAGATCTGAACTCATATTTGACTTGCTTGTGTGACAAGCACTTTCCTCACAGAGCCATCCCCCTGGCCCCTATAATATTTTTTGAATAGTAAAAAGGGTTTATCAATTTGTATGTGTGTTTGGGGAAAAGGGGAGAAGGCAGTTGAAACAGGGTGTCACACTATATTTCAGGCTGGCCAGGAGCTCACTATGTAGCTCAGGCTGGGCTTGAACTCAGAGATCCCTCTGCCTCTACCTTCTTAGTGCAGGGATTACAGGCAGAGCTGTACCAATTTGATGCTGGACTACACATTAGTTACAAGCCCGCCTTGGCTATAAAATAAACATCTAGGCCATCAGTGGTGGTGCACTCCAGCACTCAGAGGCAGAGGCAGGCAGATCTCTGTGAGTTCAAGGCCAGCCTAGTCTACAGAGTGAGTTCCAAGACAGCAAGGCTACACAGAGAAACCCTGTCAAAAAAAAGAAAAAAAAAACAAAAAGGAAAAAGAAAAAACTGTAATAGTATCCTAATATCCATAGAATCTATAGTAATATGACTAGGATTTGTTGATTATATTGATATTCTCAAAGGATCCATTTATTTCCTTAATTTTCTTCCTTCTTTCTTTCTTTTCTTTTTTTTTTAAGATTTTATTTATTATGTATACAGTCTTCTGCCTGCACGCCAGCAAAGGACACCAGATCTCATTCAAAGTGGTTGTGATCCACCATGTGGTTGCTGAGAATTGAACTCAAGACCTCTGGAAGAACAGTCAGTGCTCCCAACCGCTGAGCCATCTCTCCGGCCCCCTCTTCCTTCTTTCTTTCTTTCCTTCCTTCCTTCCTTTCTTTTTCTTTGAGGTAACACCACACTGGCTATTCATGAAATCACTGGCCTTGACCTCACAGAGATCTGCCTGCCTCTACCACCCAGCTGCAGGGAGTTACAAATGTATTAAGTCATTTTCAGTGCAAAATATAGTTTATCTTGGTAAATGTTCCACACGCACTAAGAAAAACAGGGCCCTGGGTGGTGCATGCCTGTATTCTGGCCTGTGTGTAACTGAAGAAAGAAAACTGAGTCAAGAGGGTTCTGCAAGTCAAGGACAGACTGAACTACAGAGAGGGTTCCAGGCCACACCAGGTGACAGAGTGAAACCTTGTTCCAACCAACCAACCAACCAACCAGCCAGCCAGCCAGCCAACCAACCAACCAACCAACCAAAAGATGAAGGCACTTAAAGAAATCATAAAGTCTGCTGTTGGGTGGAACACAGCACAAATATCAATTGTGCCTACCAGGTTGATCATGTTCCTGGGAACTAATAAAGCCTTACTGATTTTCTACTTGCTGTATCTATCATTGGGAAAGGACTATGGATATATTTAACTATTGTAGATTGGTGTGTTTTACCTGGAAGTTCACTCATTTTGTTCTTGTGGAGTTTTTGTTTTGTTTTATTATGAGCACAGCTTTATCGGGTAACAGTGGCCATTCCCAAGTGGCTCTGGATCACTAGTGTGACAGAATGAGATGGTGCCTCACTGAAGACATGGAACCCTTCTTCATGTATAGGACAGTGACAACTGACACTAGATGACTAGAGTGTGTGTGTGTGGGGGGGGGGGGGGGGGGGGGGGTTTCCCGGGGGAGATTACCTGTATCTGCCAGCTTCAGCTATTGCTGCCATTGCCCTTTCTTGGGTCTGTGGCTGTCAAGGGCACTTCTCGGGTGGGAGAAGTTTCTTGTGGAGACCAGTGAGGCTCACCTAGCCCCCAGACAGCCTCCCCATTGGGCTGCTTGAGAGCTGGAGGGACATCAGAGCCAGGTTCATCACACTGTATCCCAGTAAAGACAGGCCCTAGCCTATAGGAAGCTGAGTGCCGCCTCAGAAACCCGGAGCTGGCCTCAGGCGCCATCATTACCTGCCCATTGCTGTCCCAGGTGCAATCAGGACTAGAGCAAGGTCCTCTTCAAGTCCAGCCAGCCTGTGGGGTCACCTGCAAAGTCCCAGTGCCTTTAGGATGGTGTCTTGCTGGGCATGGTGGCCCCCGTCTTCTTTGATGCACCCTTCAGCAGTGTGAGCTTCTTGGGCAGGCTGGAGTTGGCTTTCATCACCACGTCATGCTCAGTCTTCTTCCGGATCCCCACTTCCAGGGTCTTCTTCAGCTTTTGCTGCTGCACAACGCACGCCTTCTTGGGAGCAATGACTGCCTTTCCTCGGCCCTCAGCTCTGCTCCGCCACAACTGCTGCCTTGTTTTTAGGTTTCTGAGCCTCGTTCTTGTGGAGTTTGAAGCTCTGTTTTTCAGTGAATATTTAGGATTGTTATCTGTGTGATAACCTGCATTCTTACCTTTTTTGCCTTATTTTATTTTAGTTTTGGTTTTTCCGGGCAGGGTTTCTCTATGTAGTCTTGGCTGTCCTGGAACATGCTCTGTAGACCAGACTGGCTTTGAACTCAGAGATCTCGCAAAGGCAAGCGAATCTCTGAGTTTGAGGCTAGCTTGATATGCAGATCAAGTTCCATGACAGACAGAACTACAGAGTGCGATCTTTTCTTGAAAACACACACACACACACACACACACACACACACACACACCATTTTACTTGTGGAGCACCTGCATGTGTGTGTGTGTACACTAAATAAATACATGAAGTCCTCAGGGGCCAGAAAAAGAGCACTGGATCTCCTAGAACTATAGTTATGTGATGGTTGTGAGCAGCCCTATAGGTTCTGCAATCTGAACTCTGGTCTCCTGCAGAAGCAATGGGTGTTCTTAACCACTGAGCTACCTCCCAGCCTTGACATGACCTTCTTCAACACTGGAACACTGGTATTATTCTTTTGTTTTGTTTTGATTTGTTTTGTTTTTTTGTTTGTCTAGACAGTGTTTCTCTGTGTAGCTTTGGATCCTATCCTGGCACTTGCTCTGGCGACCAGGCTGGCCTTGAACTCACAGAGATTCGCCTGCCTCTGCCTCCCAAGTGCTGGGATTAAAGGTGTGCGCCACCAATGCCTGGCTAACACTGGTATTCTTCTTTACTCAGAAACCTATTTGTTGGTTTTAAAAAACAAAACAAAACCCTATGGTCCTCATTTTGAGCTCAGGGCCTGTGTAAACTAGTCTGAAGTCCATGGACAATTTAGGCCCCTCAGCTCTTGTGATGCAGCTTTTGAGAATTACCCCCCATGCTGGGAGGGCTTTTCAGTGATGTAGATGCCAGGAGCTCCTGTGCTCCTGTAATACCCCCACCCATGCTGCTGTAATTAACCTCAGTTAATTCAGTGGTTCAACCTGGGCTTGTTAGGAATTGTTTCTTTGCTCGGTTGTTGCTCTATCTGGGGTGAACCACAATTCCATGCGTCTCCCCATGAGAGGTAGTGTAACAAATCAAGTACAGGAATGGAGACTGCTGCACTTGGCCTGGCATTCAGACAGTGGTGGAGAAGATGGCAAAGAAAATGTGACCCTACAGATGCTGAGGCAGTAGGATCAAAAGGACTTCCTCTCTTGCCTAATTATTGCAAAACCTCCTAACTGTTCCCACTCTTGCCTGTCTAGAGCCCACCAGGCTCTATTCCACTTATACTACACAAATAAAACTAAAGAAAAACGAAAAGGGTGTATCAGGAGTGAGAGGTGTAATCAGTGAGGGAGGATGATAGGCTTAACTCTGAGGAGGAAACAAGCCCTACAAACACAGAGGATGTCTGGGTAGAGCTCCAGCTGCAGGTACAGAGTCTGGTCTGTTGAAGGAGTGTGGTGTGGCTAGTGAGGTGCTAGTGAAGAGTGGATGACAGGTGAGGGTTGGCCCAGGGTCAGATCACAGTGAACACAATGGGCTTTTACTCTGAGTAGCATGAGAACCCACTGAAAGATGCCAAGGGTGCAGGTGCCCATGTGAGCACATGGGAGCTGGAGGAGAACATCAGGTGTCTTACTCTATCATTCTCCAACTCATTCTCTTCATACCTGGCTTGAACCTGGAGCACAGCTGGCAGCCCCAGAGATCTCCTCCTGTCTCTGTCTTCCCACAGTACAAGGGTTTCCACACCCTGCTTTTTACATAGGTTCTAAGGATTTGAACTCAAGTCCTTATGCTTGCAAGACATGCACATTTTCTGAGTCTTCTTCCCAACTTTCCAGTAACCTCTACCTCCTGAGTTCCAGGATTAACACTGTATGCTATCATTGCCCAGCCAGTAGCATTTCTTACCTCCCACTGTTTAGGTAATTCACTAATATGTTGCCCAGGCTGGCCTTGAACATTGGATTGTCCTGCTCCAGCTTCTAGGGGGAGTTGGAGTTGCAGCTTGTACTCTCTTGCCTGGCACTATTTTAGAATTACGTTTATGTGTTTCTGTGTGAGTTTGCTCACACACATGGGAAGAGCACCCCCTAGCTGATAAACTTGAATAGTGAATGATTAAAAAGGCTGCAGAGAACAATTTGTGGGAATCAGTTATTTCCTTCCACCATAAGTGTCCTGGAGATTGGACTGCAGTCATTAGACTGCCAGCAAGTATTCTAACCCGAAAACCATCTCAATGACCTTCTTTGTTTTTGAGATAGGATCTCACTCTATAGCCCCAGGCCAGCTTCAAATTTACAGTGGTCTTTCTGCCTTGGCCTCCCAATTTCTGGGATTACAGCAGTTGGCCAGGATGCTCTGCTCACTAAATTATCTCAAAAGCTGATAAAACTTTAGCTGGAGGCCAGACATGGGAGCCCTCACCATCTTGGAGCAAAAAAAGTTGAATTCATAGGAGCAGTGGAACTGATAAGAAGAAAGGAGGCCAACATAGATACAGCATTTAAATAAAAAGATGGGCAGAGGAAGTGAAAGTTTAGAAGAGTTTCAAGAATAGGGGAGGTGCTGGGTAGTGGTGGTGCATGCCTTTAATCCTAGCACTTGGGAGGCAGAGGCAGGGGGATTTCTGAGTTCGAGGCCAGCCTGGTCTACAAAGCAAGTTCCAGTAGAGCCAGGATTGTTGCACGAGGCAAGTGGGGGGGTTCATAGGCAGCCTTATGGGGAGGGGTAGGACTGGTTACATATTGAACCAGTAAGTCAGAGGTTCTCAATCTATAGGTCGAGACTCTTATGGGGCATCACATATCAGATATTTACATTACAATTCATAACAGTAGCAAAATTGCAGTTTTGAAGTAGCATTGAAATAATTTTATGGTTGGGTCACCACACCATGAGGAACTGTATTAAAGGGTCGAAGCATTGGGAGGGTTGAGAGCCATTACCGTAAGGTCGCAGGTGGTGGGAAAGATGGCTGAGACCAAGAGTACAGAGATTTAGGAGCAGACACTCTAAAGACTCCTGGGATCGGTTTTGTTAGGCCTCTGACTCTGCAGTGAGTCCGCCTTAAGAAGGGGGAAGCGCCCCCTGGCTAATAAACTTGGGTAACGAACGGTTTTATGGGCTGGCAAAGGAAAAATTCGGGGCTCAAGGTAGAAGGCTTTAGGTCCCCAATCAGTTTCCGACTATAATGATTGTCTGAACCCTGAAAGACTGAAACAGCAGACGGCTCAGAACAGAGGGTCGTGGCTACCACCCCGGAATGAACACGAACGCTGATTGAGCGCTTCGGGTGCTTAAGTCAACCTCTCGGCACAGAACAATCCACACAAGCCTCGAAAGAACAGGAGCTCTGCTTCGTGTCAGTCCGGATTCGCCCGAGCGCTGCTCCCTTTGTGGGCGCGGTAAGCGTTCCCCCAGGCAGGATGGGGATCCCCTGCCTACGGACTGCGCTTTCTCTGTTGGCAGCCAGCTGCAGAAGAGCCGAGCCCGGAGCAACCCTGCCTACTGACCCTAGCAACCACTCACCTGCTGTTCTCTTCCTATAGGCCAGAATTTTTTCTTTCTTTTTCTCATTGGTCCGCGTAACTTTATCGCAACCAATCAGCGGTAGCCACGGGACCCAACTCACTCCTACCCAACCTGCGTTGGGGGAAGTGACATAGGAAGACATCAGTTTTCTGCATCCAGTTTTCCCAGGAAGCGCTTTACTTCTTACCAAGTCGTACCTGTCCCTGGAGTGAGGCGCTGACACAATTTATTTCTTTTATGCCTGACGTAAAGCCTGGCTCTTGCTCGCTCCTACCCCCTCCAAATGGCACGGCCCGCAGAATGCCCCGTCTTCCAGGCATTTTGACAGCTGGAGTCCCGGAGGGACTGCAGGGGTTGAGGGTGGTAACCCCACGACGGTGATTAGCAAGTGGGGGGCGGGCAGCCCTCTCCCGCAGCCCTCTTGGTCGCGACCACGCGCCACATCTCTTGCTCGTCCCGGCTGCATGCGCACGGGTCCCGGAAGCACCAACGAGATCGCTGCACGCAAAGCGCACTTGGTACGGTCCACTCCGCCGCGCCCCGCGCCGCCGGAAGTGAGGTGTCTTACCCCCGAAGTTCCGGTTCGCAGGGGGTGGGGAGTGTTGTTAACCGGAGCGGCTGCCGCAGTCGCGGTGATTGAGCGGGCTCGCGGCGCTGGGCTCCTGGTGAGTGGGCCAGTCTGGTCCAGGCTGCGGTTGGGGTGGGGAGTCGGGGACCAGGACCTTGCCCTTTGGGGTCACTGAGATCAGCCCACCCACCCCCTGCGATCCGCCGCCAGTTATCGGCCTGTCAGATGGCTGTAGACCTCAGGCGGCGGCGCTGCCACCGTTCCAGAGGCCGGGCCCCGCCTGCGACGTTTGCAACTCCTAGCGCTCACAGGTGTGCGGCTTCGAGGCAACCCGGGTGGCTCTCGATTCCGCCGCTGCACCCTGCTGGTCGGCCGTTTCTCCTCTTCTCGGAGTGGACACTGCTCTGGGGGCTGGGAGGAGGGTGCCAGGGTTCCAGACTGACGTACCCCCCTGGGCACGCGTCTATGCTGACCACCCCGACACAGCTGTCACCGGCGGTACCGCCTCCCAGGCTGTACCCTCTGAGCCTTGCCTTCTCCCAGCCAGACCCAGCGTTCCCGCCTCTAAAGGCTATCATCCCGGTTCCTACAGAGGGTCAGCTGTAGGAGCCCCCCTCTTCCCAACATTGCTGCTTTGCCTCATTGCCTCCCTAGAGGCGGCGGCTTGGCAGGCAGCATGGAAAGAGCCCTAGATTTGAAACAAGACTGACCCAAGTTCCAGACCTTGCATCAGTGTTAGCCTTTAACCCTTATGAGTCCTGGCTTCTCGTTTTTTTTGTAATGGGGAGTATATGCTGTTCTGAATCTAATGGTTGTCAGGGTGAGGTGAGCGTTTACCCCTACTATTGATGCTCTCCCAGGGACTGCTAGGTTTACACAATATGGACATCACAAATGTCATTTTCTTTGTGCAGGTCTCTGGGCCAGGGCGATGTTCCGCACCGCAGTGATGATGGCGGCCAGCCTGGCGCTGACCGGGGCAGTGGTGGCTCATGCCTACTACCTCAAACACCAGTTCTACCCCACTGTGGTGTATTTGACCAAGTCCAGCCCCAGCATGGCAGTGAGTTCAGGGCTCAGTAAAGGAGGACTGCCTAGGGAGGGAAGGCGGAGTCTATGTGGGGCAGAGGCAGGGCTACATGTCATAGTAGGGAGACATAGCCATTGGCTGCTTAACTTGGAATAATATATGACAAGCCTTGGGGACATGTCATAATGATGAGCCCCCAGCAGAGGAAAGCAGAAAATGACCTCTAACTATGGCTTTTCCCCACTCCTAGGTCCTGTACATCCAGGCCTTTGTCCTTGTCTTCCTCTTGGGCAAAGTGATGGGCAAGGTGTTCTTTGGGCAGCTCAGAGCAGCAGAGATGGAGGTAATATATTGGTGGCCCCAAAGGGACAGGGTCCAGAGCCGGACAAACAATGGCTGGGTTCCATATCATCCCCTGCTCAACCCACAGCACCTTTTGGAGCGGTCCTGGTACGCTGTCACTGAGACTTGTTTGGCCTTCACTGTTTTTCGGGATGACTTCAGTCCTCGCTTCGTGGCGCTCTTTACTCTCCTTCTCTTCCTCAAGTGTTTCCATTGGTTGGCTGAAGACCGTGTGGACTTTGTGAGTTGGGAGTGGCTGATGGGCATGCTGGTGGATTGGGCATAGGGTGACCCCAACCACCTTGATGGTGTCCCTCTCTGCTCTGCCTCAGATGGAACGCAGCCCCAACATCTCCTGGCTCTTTCACTGCCGAATCGTCTGTAAGTGAGGCTCATGAAGAGGAGGGGGTTGCTTGAGGGAAAAGGTGCCACTGAGGAGTAGAATGTGAAATCAAAAACTAAGAGCCAGTAACCCAAAGCCCTGGCTGCCCTTCAGGACAGCTAAACAGGAAAGATAATTTAAGAAGTTAATTTGCATAGTCTCTACCCTGTTCCACTCCATAGCTTCTCAACTGCCTGGGCCCTCTGCTCTGTCTTTTCCCCTGGGCCTGGGTTGCCCCAACACCCTGCCTGAGCAAAAGTAGTTCCCAGAGGACTGATTCCACTTGGGTATATACATCTGAGCTGGGTCTATGGCCATGACAGACATGAGGGTGGGGCTGTCCTAGATCAAGAAGTGGTTGTCAGGCCTGTGCTAATGTCACTTCCCTCCATTTGGGGGTCTCCACAGCTCTTATGTTCCTCCTGGGTATCCTGGACTTCCTCTTTGTCAGCCACGCTTATCATAGCATCCTGACCCGGGGGGCTTCTGTGCAGCTGGTGTTTGGCTTTGAGGTAAAACTTGTTTGAGAGGTTGGGGGTGGGAAGAAAGCTGAGGTGGTACAGCATGTGCTGTGAGCAACCCTGCAAATGCTTCCTGAGCACCTGCTATGTCTCCACCCCTATACTGACCACCAGGGAACAGCCATCATTTAGTTCTGCCTGCCCTCATACACTCCTAAGTGATTGCAGAAGGCCACCAAAAAGGCTGGGCACCTTAGCAAACTTTCCTGGAGGCTGGTGCCACAGCTGGCTATGGATGGATAGGAGAAAATTGCTGGGTAGATCACCCAGGAGACGTGTCCCAGCTCACATTTGCTGAGTGCTTACCACATGCCATGCCTTATATGCATGAGTTACATCTCATAATCAACAGAATCACGTTGTTGTAGAGGATAGTTGATGCTGCGTTTTACAAATGAACAGAAGTTGAGCTAGCTGCTTTAGTCACAGGCTGTGAGGACGCGGTCTGTGTCCCAAAGCCTGTGTTGGTAGTGCTGTAGCCGCTGTACTGAAGCCTGGGCCTGGCTAGGGCAAGGGGAAGCCGGCACTTAGACCTGTCTCATGTCCCTCCCTCCAGTACGCCATTCTGATGACCATGGTGCTCACCATCTTCATCAAGTATGTGCTGCACTCTGTGGACCTCCAGAGCGAGAACCCGTGGGACAATAAGGCTGTATACATGCTCTACACGGAGCTGTTTACAGGTGACGGGAGCCTGGGCCTCTTCTGATCCGCACCAGCATCCCCTGTGCCTGCAGCTCTTGTGGCCAGCTGTGCTCTATCTCCCCCTCCCCCAGGCTTCATCAAAGTCCTGCTGTACATGGCCTTCATGACCATTATGATCAAGGTGCACACCTTCCCGCTCTTTGCCATTAGGCCCATGTACCTGGCTATGAGGTGAGTCCAGCCTTGTACCGTCACTGTCCCAGACTGATCTCTCCCATCTGTCTTCCTGCACTCATTGACTTGTCTCTTCAGGCAGTTCAAGAAAGCTGTGACAGATGCCATCATGTCTCGGCGAGCCATCCGCAACATGAACACACTGTAAGTGGGCTTACCCTGGCTCCTCTCCCAAACTCTGTCCTAGATCCCTTTGCTCCAAGTTCTGGTCCTGACGTGTGCTCTGCCATCTTATCCAGGTACCCAGATGCCACCCCTGAGGAGCTTCAGGCAATGGATAATGTCTGCATCATCTGCCGTGAAGAAATGGTGACAGGTGCTAAGAGACTGCCCTGCAACCACATCTTCCACACCAGGTGGGAGAGGCTCTGGGGGGCCTGCATATTGGGCACAGGCTCACAAGGACCTGCTCACCACTGTCTGATCTTACTTCCAGCTGCCTGCGCTCCTGGTTCCAGCGGCAGCAGACTTGCCCGACCTGCCGTATGGATGTCCTGCGGGCATCATTGCCAGCCCAGTCACCACCACCCCCTGAGCCTGCTGACCAAGGACCACCTCCTGCTCCTCATCCTCCACCACTGCTGCCACAGCCTCCCAATTGTAAGTGGTCCTTCATTTGCCCTCAGAGGACCTTCCCTGCCCTCAGGTACTTGCCCTGGGCTTCCTATTGACAACGCTTGGGAATCCCAAATGTCTGCCCTGCAGAAGTTCATTCTGGACAGGAAGGGATGAGAAATAGATAAATGACTAGTGTAAGCTCAGGGGCCTGCAGGAGTCAGCTCCTAGTAGCCAAACATTTTGCTTGGGAGTGGGAACTGTCAGCTCATTCCTCTACTCACTACCATTTTCTCTCTGTAGTCCCCCAGGGCCTTCTGCCTCCTTTTCCTCCAGGCATGTTCCCACTCTGGCCCCCAATGGGCCCCTTTCCACCTGTCCCACCTCCTCCAAGTTCAGGAGAGGCCGCAGCTCCTCCGTCCACCAGTGCAGGTAAGCCTTTTACATGCTAAAACAACTGAGGGTGGCAGTCATGTCCAGAGACCCGAAGACTGATTTTTGTTCTGTGTTTTGCAAGCTGTTTCTCGGCCCAGTGGAACAGCCACCACCACAGCTGCTGGCCCCAGTACCTCTGCCCCAGCATCTGGCTCTGTTCCTGGCCCAGAGGCTGGGCCTGCCCCTGGCTTCCCTTTTCCCCCTCCTTGGATGGGTATGCCCCTGCCCCCACCTTTTGGTAAGTTGCCTACTCTCTGGGATGTTCAGGGTAAAGAAGTCAGGCCAGGTAGCTAAGACTGACCTCTGCTTCCTGCCAGCCTTCCCCCCAATGCCTGTGCCTCCTGCGGGCTTTGCTGGCCTGACCCCAGAGGAGCTTCGGGCGCTGGAGGGCCATGAACGGCAGCACCTGGAGGCCCGGCTGCAGAGTCTGCGCAACATACACACACTACTGGACGCTGCCATGCTGCAAATCAACCAGTACCTCACTGTGCTGGCCTCCTTGGGGTATGCATACCAGATTCTAGTCGAACTCAAAAGAGGTCCCTTGTGGTTTTTGACGTTTGTCTTCCATATGCCCTGTAGTATATTCTGCTTCCTCAGGCCACCTATCTACAGGCATGTCTGGGAGCTCTTGGTCATGCCTAGTGCTTTCATCCTTCTTTCAAGGAAGTACATCCACAGCTGTGTAGAGTCAGTGTTTATTAATGAGCTGACTTTGAAATTTATTCACATTTTTCTAAACTCTTATTATTCCTGACATTTGCTGCTAAAGGTCATTACTGTACACTCCTGACACTGAGGGAGCAGATAATAGAAAGTTACTTCAGATCAACCAGTGCCATGCTCAAGTGCTAATCTCATCACATGCTTGCTTGAAGACTTGCTTTAACAGCCGGGTGGTGGTGGGGTATGCCTTTAATCCCAGCACTTGGGAGGCAGAGGCAGGCGATCTCTGCAAGTTCAAGGCCAGGCTGGTCTACAAAGCTACACAGTGAAACCCTGTCTTGAAAACAAACAAACTGGGCTGGAGATGGCTCAGAGGTTAAGAGGTCCTGAGTTCAATTCCCATGTGGTGGCTCACAACCATCCCTTATGAGATCTGGTGCCCTCTTCTGGTGTGCAGATATACATGGAAGCAGAATGTTGTATGCATAATAAATAGAATCTCTAAAAACAAAACAAAAGCTTTAAAAAAAAAATACTTGCTTTACATTGGAATAGAAATCGAATTCCCATTCATAAGAGGTGACATGTGCAGAGGGCTGGCAGGTAGCTGTAGTCCAAGGCTGGAGCACTCCTGACTTCCCAGTAAACCCCTCTAAGGTGCCCATCTCTCTGAGTGGAGACTGAAGAGGATGTGAGATGGGTCAGCTGACACTACCTCCAAGTGATTTACAGTCCCTGGGTCTGAATCATCTGAGACTTGAACCCGTGTGTTCACTTACCTTTGCTTCTCACAAGAACTCGGGGATAGTTTGCCTTAGGGCTTATCCTGCAAAGCTCGTGGTGGATGGTGCAATTTAGTAGGAAAATCTGTCCAACCCATGATGCCAAGGTCAGGCCTCCTTTGTTCTTCTCTTGCAGGCCCCCCAGGCCAGCTACTTCAGTCAACTCCACTGAAGAGACTGTCTCTGCAGTGGTATCTGCTGCCCCCTCCACCAGCGCTCCCAGCTCTGAGGCCCCTACCCCATCTCCAGGGACTTCCCCATCAGTCCCTGAAGCTGAAAAGCCTCCCGGTAGGTGTGATTAACCTTGAGGGGTAGGATGAAGGATTCTCTGAGTTTTACTCCTGACTTCTCTGTCTAGCTCCCGAGTCAGTGGGCGCTGCAGAGGAGCTTCCTGAGGATGGAGAGCCGGATGCTGCAGAACTCCGCCGGCGTCGCCTGCAAAAGCTGGAATCCCCTGTTGCCCACTGACACTGCCCAGACCTGGCCCTGGCCCTGCTTTCGAGTGGCCCTCTCTGGAACAAGTCCTGCCACCAAGTGCCAGCTCTCTGTCTGCACCAGGGAGTAGTAACCCCCAGCTGAGAAAGAAGTGGCAGGACCTCTGAGGCCAAGGAGAAGTGCTGGGTTCCCAGTTGATCGTCCCCGATGGCCCTGGCAGCCATGGGGATGTTGTTCAACTCTAACCTTCCTTTACCATTCTGCTGTGTTCTGCTGGGGCGTTGAAAGAAGAGGCTGAGCCTCTGGGAAGCCTCCTCTCCTGTGCTTTCTGTGAGAAGGTGAAGCCCCCCCCCCCCAAGCCCTGCTTGTGAGTGTGGGACCATGCTGCAGTGCCGAACAGTATTAGCTTCTGTTCCCAAGTGTGGAGACCCAGGGGGGCTGAAGACAGACCAGGACCTTGCCCCACCCTCCTGCCAAGACTGGTACCAGTCTCCTTCCTCTACCCCAATCTTCCCAGAAACCCCTTTGTGATGGTGGCTGTGCCCCCTAAGCCCTGTGGCACTTCCATGTCTTATTGGCAACCACACAACTCAGGGAAAGGAGTGCCTGGGGGTGGGGGACAGGCGGGCAGCACTGAGGGACCCTGTCCTGCCCCTCCCCAGGCTCTTTCCCCATCTCACCCAGCAGCCACTGCCTGGTGGGCCTGGCTGAGGGTGTGTGCTGCCCCTTAACCACTGCTCCCCAGAACCCGAGGCAGGCCACCTCCAACCTGTGGGACTTGAGTTCAGGATTGGAACTATTTCTGTACCTAGTAGCTTTTGGCTTAAATTTTGTCTTTTTGATTTGAATGCTTGACCCCAGGAAGGAGGAGCAGGAGTGAGGCTAGGTTTAGAATAGGCTCTGGGCTAGGCAGGGACCATGGAGCCAAGACCTAGCTGCTTCTTCCTTTTGGTTTTGTGTTACAGGAGTTTCTGGAGACAGTTTCAGATGATTATTTAATTTGTAAATATTGTACAAATTTTAATAGCTTACATTGTACATACAGCCAAATAAAAACTTGCATTAATGACTGGTGGAGCTTATAACTTAGGATGGGGCTCCTTTTCCTTGCCCAGCCTGTAGACTTATGAATGGCCTGTGGTTTCCTGAAATGATGCTGAGACCATTCAACAACTAAGTATACTTTCATCTCACACATGGAAACTCTAAGCACTGGGAGGTTGATATCTCATCTACCTTAGGTGTGAAGGCAAGCAGGGTAGCCAGGATCTGAACACTGCTTAGTCAATTTAATGATGGAGTTGGACCGAGATTGGACAGCAGGCTGATGTCCCCAACACTCCCTATAACAGCACTTAGAAACTGTCTGTCTTGTCCATTCCAGGCCATGTCATTGTCCTGTGTTGTTTTCCAGTCTAGCTTATACCAAAAGCTCCTGAAGGTCTGTCCCGTGAAGCCCCCAAAACAGGGTTCGGTGGTTGTTTCCAGAATGGCTGACCTAAGAAATGCAAAGGGACAGCAGTTACTGTCTCCCTTGATATCTTGACCGATCCCTAAACCCTGTGCTTTGAATCCCATTCCGGAGACTCCAAATCCACTTCCTCTCTGGACGCCAGTTTGTAGAGGGCACTGCCACAGAGGCTGATCATCAGGCCTCAGAAGCCTTTCTCAAGAAGCCAGGCTTTAAGCTGCTCATCAAAGTAGCCCTTGATTCGAAGAGTACCTGTAAGCTGAATAAGCTGGGTGACAGGTGTCTTTCCCAGCTGTGGGCTCAGAAATTCTTCCACATCCTTCTGTAGAGCCTGAGAAAAGATTAACTCCTGTCAACAGTTTCTAATTCCAGGACTCCTCCCCTTCAATCCTGCAAGGATCAGGAACAGACCCAAGACACTTACCCAGATGTCCCCTTCTACCTTCCGGATCACAGTCATCTGTCGGTTGCCATGTGTGATGTCCTTGTAGACAGGGATATTATGCATCCGGGATCGACGAACAAAGTAGGGCAAGCTAGGAGGGGGATCTGTAAAGGGTTATGGTATAGGAGGCCAGCTTACTCTAGGCCTCAACCAAGGCCCTTCCCCTCACAAAAACTGCAGTTATGGCAGGGGTTTTTGTTTTTGCTTTTAGACAGACAAGGTCTCCTGAATCCTGTACTAGCCTCAAACTTATGTAGCTAAGGAAGACCTTAAATTCCTAACCCTCCTACTTCTACCTCCCAAGTACAAGGATTTCAGGCTTGCTGCACCTGGCTACAGAGGGTCATTAAATCCTATTGGACAAAACTACCTCCAGACTTCAGGTCAAGGCATCTCCTTTGTCCTTCAGTTTAGTCAGGACTGAACTTTCACCTTAGTGCTATAAGGCTCTACTCAGGCCTGCTACCATAGGGTTCAAGAAGAAATGAACTGGGCATGACTGTTTATGCCTAGAATATATAGGTAGTTCAAGGCTAGTTTGAGCTACATTAGACACCGTCCCCCCAAAAAAGTGAGAAACCAGACATGATGGTACATGCCTTTATTTTATTTTTTTGGTTTTTCAAGAAAGGGTTTCTCTGTGTAGCTTTGGAGCCTATCCTGGCACTCGCTCTGGAAACCAGGCTGGCCTCGAACTCACAGAGATCTGCCTGCCTCTGCCTCCCGAGTGCTGGGATTAAAGGCGTACGCCATCAACGCCTGTCTGATTTTTTTTTTTTTTTTCTTGAGGTAGGGTTTCTCTGTGTAGCGTTGGTGCCTGTCCTGGAACTAGCTCTTGTAGACCAAGCTGTTCTCGAACTCAGAGATCCTCCTGTCTCTGCTTCCCAAAGTGCTGGGACTAAATGCGTGTGCCACCACTGCCCAGTTGAAGTTGATAATTTATGTAACAGAGATGGGAGTTAAAGGGATCCTTTTGGTTTGGTTGTTTGGTTTGCTGTTTTTAAACTAGCTCCAGCTGGCCCAAACCTAGTCATAATCACACACTGTACTCTGTATTAAAGGTTTTATATGCTGAGCAAATTGTACTCATTTTGCTGAACTTGAAATTAGAAGAAGCTAAATGACTAATAAAGTCACACCTAGGGCAGAGCCAAATACAAACCAGGACTGCCTTTCTACTAAGCTGCATTCTCTATTATACATAGTAAGTTGGCCTGGGAGAAAAGAAATCCAAACACACGGGTCTTATTTCTCTATGCTTTCTCACCACAAGGGAAGACTTCATCCCAGTAAAACAGGGTTCTACTCTTAGGCCCTTCCCTGGGGATCAGACAATACTAATTCTATATCTCAACAGCACTCCTAAATCCAATGCAAAGTCCAAAGCCTCAGCTAGGGCAAAGGGCCTACTCTCTACAGCCTTTAAACTAGCCCCATCACTCAGCTCACCTCTGGGAGGCTGCCAGCCACTGGGAGTGGGATAATGTTCATGCTTTGGTGGCTGTGGGATTTTGGTAGGGGGAAACAGGCGCTCCACAAATTGGTATTCATCCTCAGACTCCAGAAAGCTGGGGTTTTCATGAGACCCCTGGGTTTGGCTCTAAGGCAAAACAAACCATTTTTCCATTAGTTCACACAACACGGAAGGGCTTTAATAGGTAAAGAATCATGCAGAAAGAATAGACCTGAGCTGGGAAAGAACCAGACTTTTTTCCAGTGTGCAAAAGTATGGGGGGTGGGGGGAACTGGCTGGAAAAACAACTCAGTCTGAATCCCCAGGATTTCTCCAGGATTCAAATGACAAACGTGCATATTCCCCAAAATCCAATTAATCATAAGACGAATCAACATAGTATTCTTCAGTAATTTTTTCTGAACCTGGTGTTGAAACTCTTTAGCTGCGAATATGATGCTTAAACCGATCAGGCACCAAGTGGGAACGTGCAGCTGCTCTCGGTCGGTCCTAACCAACTCGAGCTACGCGGTAGTCACATTCCAAAACCCAGATTGCCTAGGCTCTGCCACCCTGCCCTCTCCAGCCTGCATCTACCCTCAAGTGTCAACCCGAGTATACAGGAAAACCAAGGCCTCGGGAGAGAACGCGGAGCGACAGTGAGGCTCACACACAGCCTTTTGCCCTGTGCTCCGAACTCTCACCAGCTGCCGCGGCCCGTAGCTCCATCGGACGCAGCGCCCCGCGTCCCGCACAGCTGCTCGCAACGCCGCGACCGCCATCTTGGATTGACCCAACTGTGATTGCCATTTGCGCGCGCAACCGGTTCGGCCCCGCCCCCCCTCCTGCGGGCCCCGCCCACAGGGAAAGAACGCCTGCGTAAAGCGTAAGGGGAAAAGACTAGGACGGCGGTGGGCGGTACAAATACTAGCAATCTACGCTGTCGCGCAGCAGTGACGTGACACGCGGCATGCGGTGAGGACGTGCGCGCCCTCGCTTCTTCCTCTTTCTTGACTCCATCTTCGCGGTAGCAGCTTCGGCGTCCGCGGTTTAGGTGAGACTGGGGGACGGCTAAACTTGTAGCGCTCGGTAGCAGGCCGACTGCGGGCTGAGAGGGTGCGGGAAGTCAAGGGACAGGGCTGTTGTGCGGCCTGGTCTCCCAGCCTCATCCAGGTCCCTGGCGAGCTCGGCCTTCCGCATGTGAGGAGCGCAATCTCCCGTCCCCTACCCATCCCCTGATCTCCTTTCTTCTGGGACGCTTCTTCCTTCTCTCAAAGGCCTGTCTTTTTTTCAGTCGCCAACATGCAGCTCTTTGTGCGCGCCCAGGGACTACACACACTCGAGGTGACCGGCCAAGAGACGGTCGCTCAGATCAAAGTAAGTGTGTAATGTTCTTTTATCCCCAGACCCGCAGGTAAAACTCCTTTCTCCCCAGTGTGTGCTCCTTTATCCCCAGACCCGCAGGTAAAATTTTCCTTACAAATTATTGGGCTTTTAATTTTTTGTCTGTAGGCTCATGTGGCCTCACTGGAAGGCATTTCCCCGGAAGATCAAGTCGTGCTTTTGGCTGGCTCGCCGCTGGAGGATGAGGCCACCCTAGGCCAGTGTGGCGTAGAGGCCCTGACTACTCTGGAAGTAGCTGGTCGCATGTTGGGAGGTGACTGCTTTTTTACTGTGAACTAATGGAATGTGTGTAGTTATAGAATGTGTCAGCTCATTTCTGTGGCAATACACCTGTGCCTTCTAGAGTGGTACTGAGTTTAACCAGACTGCTTCTCGGGGTCCCCACTAAAATCAAGATCCAAAGTCGTGTAATGGCAGTGTATACCTTTAATCCTAGCAACATGGAAGACAGGCAGGCAGGTCTCCTTAAGGCTAGCCTGGTGTACAAAGCAACTTCCAGGACAGCCAGGGCTACACAGAGAAACGCTGTCAGGAGACAAAAGAGCAATAACAATCAAAATCTGGCTTCCTGTCTTTGTTTTGTATGTAAAATGTTAGCTAAGGATAGTTCTTGCCTTAGTAGTATATACATCAACCCTCAGCACTGAACAGACTGGCCACAGTGACATTGTGGTGGAAACCAACCTGGGATAGCTATTCTGTGGCCTCCATCTCTAATCTGTGCAACTTGGTTTCATTCCTTGTTGTTTCCAAACATCCACCTGCTTCTGTCTCCCTAGTGCTGGGATTAAAGGTGTGTGCCACCAACGCCCAACTAGGGCGTTGCTTCTGATCTGCCTTTCTTCCTTCCCCACACAGGTAAAGTTCATGGTTCCCTAGCTCGTGCTGGAAAAGTGAGAGGTCAAACTCCCAAGGTGAGTGAGTGCCAGAATTGTTATTTGCACTATTGCAGCAAAATCAAAGACCTTTGGTTTTCCTGTTTGTATTCTCTTTCCTGGAGAGGAATTGGTGGGAAGGATGCCAGGCATGGGAGAGGTGAACCAGGGTCTTACCAGTCAGTCCTTCCCTTTCCCAGGTGGCCAAACAAGAGAAAAAAAAGAAGAAGACAGGTCGGGCCAAGCGGCGGATGCAGTATAACCGTCGCTTTGTTAACGTGGTGCCAACCTTTGGCAAGAAGAAGGGCCCTAATGCTAATTCCTAAGTCCTTCTGTGATTCTTGCACTCTAATAAAGCCACTTTGCCCAGATGTGTTACTGCTTTCATCATTTGTGAGGCCTTAAGAAGAAATAGAACTTTTAGGCTAGTAAAGTGTCTCTTGGCCATTGGGAGTGATAAATGAGAATCTCACCACAGCGGGCAGAAGTGGTGCACACCTTTTAGGCCTAGCACTTGGGAGGCCTGAGTAGATGTAGCAGGTGATCTGAGTTCAAGGCCACCCTGGTCTACATAGAGACCCTATTTCAACCAACCAAACAGGTTCAGTGTTAGGCTGTTTTGGAGAGGCAATGATTAAAGGGAGGGGAGGCCTTGGGTAGAAGGTGAATCGGTTTTTACTGAATTTGGGACCAGCTGTACTATCAATAAAAGTTCAAAACACGGGCTGGAGAGATGGCTCAGAGGTTAAGAGCACTGACTGCTCTTCCAGAGGTCATGAGTTCAATTCCCAGCAACCACATGGTGGCTCACAACCAAACCTTATGAGATTTGGTGCCCTCTTTTGGTGTGCAGATATACATGGAAGCAGAATGTTTTATACATAATAAATAAAATCTTAAAAAAAGTTCAAAACACAAGGAGCATCGGGTCCCTCGGCATTGGAATTGTCTGATTGCACTGGCATCCTGATCTTGTCTGGCTGAACTTGATCACAACTGTGACTGAGAAGCTGATTAAATGGTTCCACCCTTAGCACCAGGCTTCCACTACACCCAGACCCCATTGCATCTTGGAATGCACCAAGGAGTAAGGCCAAAGAATAGTTGGACACTCCATTCCATTTAAGCTTTGTGAGAGATACTGGTCAAACTGTAAAATGCGCTGCAACCAGTGTCTAACCCATTGTAGACTCTGAATAGTGACTGTCTCAGACTCATTGTTTAGCCATTAGCTTTTTACTATAGTGGGTGTGGGTATTCCCACATTCTTGTTAGGACAGCATTCAGGAGTGTACCAGGGATTTGGAGGCAAATGGTTGGTTTTTATTAAGCCCAGGCTAGTTTTGGACTCTTAATATTCCTTTCCCAGCCTCCCAAATGTTACTAGACTACCACATGCTGTGTAGACTACCACACTTGGCCTGAGCAGTGCTTAAGGGTCAAATTCCCAACTCAGGTTCTTTGTAGAGGAAAAGTATGAAACTATGTAGTTTGCGATCCATGCATAGTGGCACATACCATTAATCCCAGTTCTGAGAGGAAGAGGCTAGCCTAGCCTGGTTTACAGCGCTAGTTCTAGGAAAGCCAAGGCTACACAAACCTCTGGTGGCAGTCAGGGGTTGGGTGGGGATGGGTGGCACAAAACAAATACTAGGAATTGAATTTCAATCCAACTTGGAGGTTGGGCTGCCCCAGTTTGTTATATTGATATGTTAAGTATCTTCGGGGCTTCTCTGTGGCTTCGGAGGCTGTCCTGGAACCTGCTCTTCAGATTCTTTGTCATGCCTGGTTTATGATTTGGTTCTTGTAGGGTTTTTATTATTTTGGGGGTATTTTCAAGACAGGGTCTTACTGTAGCTCTGACTATTCTGGAACTCACTGGGTAGACCTGAAACTCAGAAATCGCCCTGCCTCTGGGGACCTGGTGCGGGGATTAAATTAAAGGCGTGTGTCGCTACACCCCTAAGATTCTGGATTTTTTTTGTTGGTTGGTTTTGCTTAAAAGGTAGTTTATTTTTGCACAATTTGGTAAAACCACAGGGAACAAGCTGGGATCAGCGACATTAATCTTCTAACTCTCGAGAGCCACCGTGTTGGTTAGACCTTGGGCGTGTTCTGCGCATGCTCAAAAGGCTATTCTAGAGACGGAAGTTACCGAGAAGGTACGTCGCCCCACGCACAAAGGCGGAAATAACCGAAGAAGCACCGGAAGTGGCGGAGCTACGTCTGCTGTGTGGTGCCCGACACGCGGCGCCAGTTGCCATGGAGCCCGTAGGGCTCTGCGGCTTCTGCCCAGGCGGGGAAGCTTTGCCGGCGCGCTACACCTGCCCGCGCTGCAACGCGCCCTACTGCTCGCTGCGCTGCTACCGGGCGCATGGCTCCTGCGCCGAAGACTTCTACCGCGACCAGGTGCTGCGAGAGCTCCGCGGCCGGAGTGCCTCTCCCAGCCGTCTGGCGGGAGCACTACGCCGGCTACGCGAACAACGGGAGACCGAGGATGAGCCCGAGGAAATAGGCCTCAGGCCCGGCCCGCGGCCGAACGGCCTTTCTGGACTCTGGGAAAGCTTGTCACCGGCTGAGAAGGCGGCGTTCGAGCGGCTGCTGAGCCGTGGCGATGCTGGACGCCTTCTGCCCCCGTGGAGACCCTGGTGGTGGGGCCGCGGGGGTGGCCCGCGATTTATGGAGGAGTTGGATCGTGCCCCGGGCAGGGATCTTTCGGAGCCGGAGACCGCCCCAGAGAGCACCGCGCCCGAATCTGTGGATGATGCCGCCGCGGTGCCTCTTGCTGAAGACTCAGCTGCCACTGAGCTGCCCGCAGTGCCCTCCCGTATCCCAGCGCTGGCCAGCCTGAGCCGCTGCCCGCCCTCGCCACTCGTGCGATTCCAGCTGCCCAATGTGCTGTTCGCCTACGCTCACACTCTCGCCCTGTATCATGGAGGGGACGACGACGCTCTACTCTCTGATTTCTGTGCCACACTGCTCGATGTTTCTGGAGCCCTGGGCGCCCAGCAAGTCTTTGACTCTACGGAGGAAGCCCTGCAGGCCGCAGCCCACGTGCTGGAAGCGGGTGAACACCCACCTGGGCCCTTGGGTACGCGGGGTGCTATGCAAGAGGTTGCTCGTATTCTGCTGGGCGAGGGTCCTATCAACCAGAAAGGCTACACGCTGACAGCACTGGGGCACCTGGCCCAAACCCTGGGCCGAGCCCGGAAACAGGCTGTGGTTAGCGAAGAACGAAATCGCCTTTACCGGGCTCGGAAGAAGTGCCAGTTCCTCCTAGCCTGGACCAACGAAAATGAGGTTGCTCTCACACCACTGGCTCTAGACTGTGCCAGGGTCCACCGAGCCCATGCTGTCACAGCCGAGGAGATGGCAACCCTTACTGGGGAGCTGGAGCGGCTTTGGGGAGGCCCGGTACCACCTGCTCCAAGGACTCTCATTGAGGAGCTCCCTGGCTGAGCTGGGTGTGTGGTATTAATAAAGCTGTCACTGGTCTGTCCAAATGTTGGCAGTACCTTTATTTTCTTCAAAGACAGTACCCTATCCTAGACTTTCCTTGAAGTCACTGTGTAGCTGATGACCTTGAACTTCTGAGCCGAGCCTGCCTCTACCTTGACAGTGCTGGGATTACAAGTGTTAAGTCACCTTGCTAATTTATGCAGTGCTGAAGGTCAAAGGCTTCTTGAATGCTAAGCAAGCATTCTATATAACAACTACATCCCCCAGGCCTGAAGTGCCCATTTCTGAGAGAAACCAGTTGTTCCACGAAGCTACCCTGGACACACAAACCACTTCCCTAGTACAGCTTCCCTAGTCAGCTAGTTCTCTACCTCTCTCCCCCAAATCACTGACCCCAGAATAGAAGAAAAACAAGATTGAAAACATTTATCCAGCAGGGAAAAGTATTTTCATATGGGAGCAGTGGTTCCCTCTTCTTGCGTCAGACTCTGAGGCTGGTCATCCCTGCCAAGTAGAATGGGGTGCAGGCCCTTCACCCCACATGTGTTCAGGCCTGAGCTTGTTAGATGGCTCTGCCTCAGTAGACATAGGGTATGATTCGATAAGGCACACGTTTGCAGTATTCCTGCCAGGCACGGCCATACTTGCGAAGGCACTGCTGCTCATCTCGGGCCTCCCGGTGTACCAGCAATGCAGTGAAGTAAAGGAGGTAGAAGTAGGGCAGCAGGTGAGACACCCCTGTAGGGAAGGGGTTGCATGATGAGACACCAGCACCCGGTGTATAATGGCTTTCTCAGCTAATGACACACAGGGTGACAGGGTTCATCAGTGATACACGGGGTCCATCTCCAGTCACACCAGACTGAGCCTCCCTTCCCAGACCTACTCACCACAGGGCAAGGACCAGGCCAGAGCCATGATGAGGTCTCCCAAGTAGTTGGGGTGACGAACCATACCCCACCACCCAGATACCAGCAGCTGCCGTCCTGTGGCAGTAGGGATGGTTTCAAGACCTGGAGAAAGGTAGCTAATGAACCAGGGAGCCTCAAAGCCTGACCCTTCATCTCACCCATAGTCTCCAGGAGACCCAGCTCACCAGCCACACTGGGGTCAGAAGGATTCTTCCGGAATGTGTTTTTCTGGGAGTTAGCACCACGGAAGATGTAGTAACCAATAACTGAGAGAAAGTATGATCAGGTAGTGAGATGAAGTCCAAGCCTTCTTCCTCGCCCTGACAACAAGCCTGTCCAAATCCCAGGCTCTGTTATGACACCCAGGGGGCCAGCTCCCAGCTTTAGAGGAGCATCAGAGCCTGGGACCTACCTAATGGGCAGTGAATGAAGTATGAAAGAGGGAGGGGAAATGAAGGCCCTCCTACTGACCCTTAATAAGGCAGATGAGCAAGGCCATGGGCAACCCCAGAGGCTGTGGATGGTATAGCAGGAACTGGGCCTGCAAGCTGTAGGTGAAGGGTACCCAGGCTAGGTCTCCAAAGGCCAGCATGAAACCAAATCCATCATGTATTATGTCCATGGTGGTGAGGACAGACTCCTGCAGGGACAGGACCCAGACACACTGGCTTAGTCCAGATGACATCTTCAGGATCCCTTTCTCACCTCCCCTTCCAATCCAGCCTCACCTCATACCAGAGGGCATCACCCACATACAGCAACTGGAAGGCATTGACCAGCCACATGGCCAGTGAAGGACTCCCCCGTAGCTCTGCCTCCTGTATCAGCAGGGCCAGGTTAATAAAAACCTGAGGGAAGTGGGGACAGGGCCATTGTCTCTGAGTGGGAGCATCAGAGTGGAAAAGTGTCAACCTCTCCCCTCCCTCAACTGTCAGTTCACATGTTGAATGAATCTAGGTCGAAGCTGCCTATACTTAAAACTCCTGCTTTTGAATCTGAGCTTTGCCACTTGGGCAGAGTATATATCCTTGCTGAAGCTCACTTTCCCACTGCCATGTGGAAAATGGGGATAAGAGCCCTGTCTTGCTGTTTAAAGAAAAATATAATGCTTGCAGAGCTGAGGATTAGCTTGTCGTGAACCTGTACTTTGTACCCTTGTTTTAGTAGTTCCAGTGGACTAGGTAGCTTCTTCAGTAATACTGACATAGTACTTTCATTAAGGGTACCTCTAATTAAAAAAAAAAAAGTCTCACTAAGTAGCCTTGATTGGACTGAAAATGTGTACAACCAGGCTAACCTAAAGTCATAAAAATCTACCTGCCTCTGCCTCCTAAGTGCTGGAATTGAAGGAGTGTGCCACCACACCCAGCCCTCACAGTAATTGTAGAAGAAAACTTCATCCCATCCTGTTTCTTCAGTGAGAAAATAACCTTAGAGTCTGGTATGTGTGTAGGCAGGCCAATCTCCAGATCCTTGGAGGGACCAGGCCAGGTGGGGTTACAATAACTAATCCTAGTTACTTAAGTAGGTGAAGAAAGTGGAGGAGACATTGATAGCCAGGGCTATCCTAGTGAGACCTGTTTCAAATCCAAACCAAACCCAAACTCAGATTCATAGAGGTTACTTGGCACTCCTGCCTCTGGGTAAGATCTCCAAGATGAAAGCAGGGCCTTGCCTGAATCTCTTTGGAACTCTTCACCACCGTCCATGTCTGTGTGATCTTAGCCCAAGAACAGCTGCTGTGTTGTTAGGGCCACCAATGACAAACAATCCACTGGAGGCACAGAGCTGCCTTGCCCTTCAAGCAGCTTGGTCATTGTCTTTGAAGTCAGTTTTGTACTTGAGCACTGCATCCAAATCTTCACTTTATTGCTATGTATGCCATATATATTTAGTTTTGTGGTGCTAGGGTTGGAATTGAGGGTGTGTGTGTGTGTGTGTGTGTGTGTGTGAGCCAAATGCTCTCTACCTTTTTTTTTTTTTTTTAAAGATTTGGTATTAAGACCCCTCTTGATCTTAATACTAAAGCAAAACCATGACTTCATGCCAAAACAACATATTGGCAAATGAATGATGATTGCTGTCCACCCAGCCATGCTAGCCCACCCTGTCCTTCTCCTGGCCCAAGACCAACATAGTTAAACCCAGCATGCCCAGCATACCCAGCCGATGAGGCCAGGCCTCAGCTCACAGAAATATTTGAAGTCAAAGGAACCAAGGCGAGGGTTTAGCTCCCGTCCCAGAAAGAAATCATAAATGCAATTTCCTGGGGGAATAACAGAGAGTGAAGGCACAGTTAGGCATCCCATATGCCTCACCCCTACCTCATTGGGACCCTTCTCACCTGAGTTTCCTCCAGGTGCCAGGGCTGAGACAGGAGCTGCCAAAGCCTTCATATAGAGAAGGAGGCTGAAGATGAAGCTGGTGAGAGTGGTCGCAAAGGCCAAGGGCAGGAGCATTTCAGGGAGTGCCCCCAGGGGCAGCCCAGCTGACACCCCTAGCCCCACCAACAGGGCTGTTAGGACCAGAGCCTGGAAGCCTGAACCACAGCAGAGTGAGTTTTAGAATTGAATACATCCACAACTAACACACACACACACACACACACACACACACACACACACACATTTAGAATTGAATACATCCACAACTAATACACACACACACACACACACACACACACACACACACACCACACACATCCACATCCACAACACACACACACACACACACACACACACACACACACACACTAACACACACACATACACATCCACAACACACACACACACACACACACACACACACACACACACGCTTAAAAATTAATCTGTCCTACATATAAAATGAAAGACATAGTGTCAACAGAGCTAGTCCCGAGATCCCACCCCAACCCGTGTAACCAGGAGGGAGGACCCAGGCACCATTAATAGGGTAGCGCAGGCGACTCTTGTCCTTTAGTTCCAGCCCTTCGGCCACCTACGGATATAGGAAACGTCTTATAAGAGTTGGGGAGGCCTTCTGCCTTCCCTGTCCGCTCCACCCGGTGTTAGAACGGAGCTCACACCTTGCGCGCAGGCAGCAGATAGAGCGCCACCTGCAGGGCGAGCCAGATGAACAATAGCAGCAGAGCCTGTGGACTCCACAGCTCCTCCAGCCCCGGCAGGTAAGTGGGTGGGCCCAGGAGCCGCGCTGGGCCCGATCGGGCCACCAGGAGCAGATGGAACATGGTGGCAGGCAGCAGGACCAGCATCGCCGTGACGCCTGGAGAGAGGGCCACTGTGTCTCGTGACCGCTCCCCAGAGCTCTCCCAAGTCCACAGGCACCTTAGGTCACCTGCCTGCTTAGCAGGTTCCCTGCGCCATACTCCTACCTTGATTTCCATCTTAGTCCTCCCCAAGACTATCCTCCTGCTCTTCCAACTGTCTCCCACTCCACAGACTCCTTGCTGTACAGCTGCCAGCACCGGTCCATCCTTTCCTGCAGACATTCTGCCACCTGCGCACCCTCCATCTTTCTGCCTCCAAATTCCCAAAAGCCTTCTAGCTCGTACCATACCCTGTTGCCGTTAAGTAGCATCAGTTCAGCCTCCACTCCACCCCCAACCTTCCCATTTACCCAGTGGCCCCCCGAATTCCAATGAGGCCTGGGAGGCCTCACGAGGAGTCATGATCTCTGCTTTGCCGGGGAGCGATGGTTCACAAAAGATCAAGGGAACACATCCTGCCCTATCCTGGTGGTCTGGCTAAGCTTCTGTCTGAACACTGAAGTGAGACAGCTGCTGCCCTTGTCTAGCAATCTTTAGAAGGACGCGCCCCCCTGCCCATCCTGGGCCCAGCACAGCAGCCAATCAGCGCTAGGAGGTGGGACCGTGCTATCGTCTCAGAAGCTTCGGTATTAAACTCCACCCCTGCCAGGTCCCGCCCCTTCAGGCAAGAGGGAGGAGGAGGCTACACAAGTTTATTAGACCGGTCCAGACTCCCGCCAGCGGGGTGAAGACAGCGCACTGGGAGGACAGGATAGGACAATAGGGCTGCCCCGTGACGGCGTTGGTAGAGCCTAGCCGCGCTCACAGATGACCTCGACAACACTGGGTTCCATGGGTACCGGGTCCGGACAGCGAAGGGCAGCTGAGGCTACCACTTCGTCTAGCAGCAGATGCACTAGCTCCTCATCAGCCACAAAGCGCCACAAGTAGAGCTGCAGGAAGTGGCAGTCCACCTGCACTTGCTGCAGCCCGAATCGCCCAAAGGTACGCAGTCGCACACACTCCAGGAGCGTCTTCAGGCTAATCTTAATGATGCCAGTCAACACCGACACCTGCAAATGGGCACAAAGGAACGACACCAGTGACTTCAGGCTTTGAGGGGAAAGCATACACCTAGCTTCTGAGCAGAGGCCAGGGAAATACAAAGTAAGACAGAAATTTCCAGGGCCTAGGTAAGGAGGGAATAACCCAATGTTGCCACTAGGAGGGGCAAGGGCAGATAAGCCAAAGTGGTCAGATCGGAGATGGGGGCAGCAGTCACCACTGACTACAAAGTAGAAATAGAGGAAAGATATCCCTGAGCTTGGGCCACTGTGAGGCAGAGATCAATATGTGATTGGGAACCCCTGAAGACTCAGGACTATTTTAGAGAAAAGAGTGAGAGCAAAGAGGACTTGAAGTCTGTTGTGGAGTATTAAGAAATGTTACATTCATTTATGCTGTGGAATATTTGTTTAATGATGCAAAGGTAAGTTACATTTGCTTGATTAAATTAAGTTAACCTGGGGTCAGGAGGCTGAGTCAGCAACTAGGTGACGGGAGTGGTGGGGAGGAACCATGTGTCAACAGGGTTCTTAAGTGAGAGTTGAGCAAAAGGATGCCCAGTGTTTTTTGTTTTGTTTTGTTTTTTTTTGGGGGGGGGAGACGAGAGTTAGAAGAGAAAGTTAGCTACTTGCTTTTTAGCCTCTTTGAGCCAGCAGAATTTCACCTCAACCTATGAATCTTGAGTTTTATAGAGGGATAGAAATCTAGATAAAGTTCCTTTTAATGGCTGCAATAAAGCCAGTGCCTGAGAGAACAGAATTCCTGCTTGGCTTTGGCCTCACTGAACCTCTACTGGTAGCTGTGGAATTGCAATTGTCGATTAGGACAGCAGTTGCTTAAAGGGGCAGCTACTGAATTTAATGAAAAACAGAAGTCAGCACCCAGGCTGGAGTGACAAGGTGGTTTTAAAGCTCTGGACTACCTAGAATCCCTAGAGACACAGACTAGATGGTCAGAGTGACAGTTAAGCTCAGATGGGGTCCTGGGGCTCCCTGGACTGTTATGGGAGCCATCCTTCCCCCTGGGATCTAGGTGAAAAGATACTTCAGACCTTGTTGAATTCCACAGGACTGAACACATCAATTCGTTCAGAGAACAGCTTCTGAATATTGCTCAGGAGGTTTGTGTCCATCGGAGCACTGGAAGGTGGAGGGAAGAAGTCAGAGCCCACTTTGCACACCCTCCCTCTTTTGTCTATATCAGGGAGGTTTCCCTCCCAGCCTGACCTGGGTGTGTAGCTAGGTGCATAGCGGCCCTGCTGCCGAGAGCTGCTGTATACAGAGAAGGTCCTTTTGCTAGAGTCGCTGCTCTGGGCTTTGCGGACACCCTCTTCATACAGGAGCCCCACCTGGTGGTGAAAAGAGGTGCTGCAAAGGGAGCATGGGGTACTAGCAGCAGAAAATTCCCTTACCTACTGGTTGAAGAATCATAGGTATGTAAGTGACCACCACTTACACAATCAGGGGTGTGGAACAAAGGCAGGGCAAGAATTAGTCTGAAACCCAATTTCCAGCCCATCCCTGTTCCAAGTTTCTGGGTGACTCTGGCCTCCACATTCCCATAGGTATGAAATAGGGGTTCTGGTGGCATAATATAAGTACAGCCAGACAACTTTTGCTTGGTCCTTGGAGAGCTGTTATCCAAGGTCCCAGCATGCATCAGGGCTCCACCAGCTGGCCTAAAGCAGCACCTGTACATCAATAGCTGTCGTGTCCTCTACCACACGCTTCATGACAGCACGCACGTTCCGGGGCTCCAGAGTACTGAGCCAGTCCCGTGTCTCCACACTCTTGCGTAGCATCTGTGATATGACGAGGCCCTGCACCTTCACATAGTGAGTCAGCAGTCGCCGTGCTGTCTCTCTGGCCTCTGCACACAGTGTACTCACAGGTGTAACTGGAGACTGATCCTAAGCCAGGAAAGCAGAGGACAATGGTTGTAGGTACTAGGGACAGATCAGAGGCCACTGCCAGTTAGGAGCTAAGCAAATCTTGGGAAAGATGGAGGCTGGGATGGGTGCAGACTGCCAGTCTGGCAGTCTGCTGGCAACTCGTGTGGCAACAAGAGAACATCCAGCCTCCTGTGTTCCCAGCATTAGCTCCCTGTCCCTCTCCTGAGCCACTTCACCTGCACCAGAAACTGTTCGTCAGTCAGGGTGAGGATGTAGGAGATGGTGGCTGTCTCATAGTCCAGGCACAGGCGAGACAGCAGTAGAAGCAGGGCAGGTGGCGTGGCACCTCCCTTTTCTCCAGGGCTGTCACAGAAGCTCTGGGCTGTCTGGCACATGGAGCGGATGAAACCCACGATGAGGCCCTCACGGACTCCCTGGCTGCAGAACTCACCCTGTGAAAGGAGGCCCAGATCCACAATCAGTCCTCTGTCTTAGGCAGGAGAGGTTCAGCAAAGCCACAACATGGGGCTGTCCCTTGCCCTTTGCTCCAACCCTCCTCCAAAGGATAGTCCTGTCCTGCCTCCCTGCCTTGCACATGGTGGGGCTGGCAGGAGTAAGGTCTCTGGTACCCTTCTATATTATATATTAGCTCAGTTGCATAGCATTTTCTCCTCCAGATTGCCTCCTAAGAACATAAATCCATATCCAGGGTGCCTGGGAAAGGACTGTGCTGGTGACTTGTCCTCAGTTCCCCAAGCACTAGTAAAAGGGTGCTAGAGGACCAGTCAGCGGAATGAATAACCAAAGACAAGACAGACATACCCGGAAGTAGGGCTTGTTGGAGAAGGACACCTCCTTGGCTGTAAAAAGATGCACAGAGGCCAGAGAGGCCTTGATGTGGCTTAGGATGGAGCTGGCCACATTGGCCAGCAACTCAGCCAGACTGGGGCCCTCCTTCCCAGCCAGGCGAGGTGCTGCCAGGGCCTGGCGAACATCTGTCAGGCAGCTCAGGAAGGCAGCCCTCAGACCCTGCAGATGGTGACTCAGGCGCTCTCGGGCTACTCGCTCCACAATCTCCGTGGCGGACTCTGAAAGCCCAGCAGCGGCCAACAGGGCCCCAGGTGCTCGCAGGCGCCGGTGGAAGCGATCTAGTGCCCGTACCAGCAATGAGTTGTCACTGCCACCCTGCTCCTGTGCCAGCCGCCGCTCCACCAGTACAAAGTAGCGGCCGCCCAACTCACGCGCGAAGGCTGCCAGCTTCTGTGTACCAGTAGGGCCCTGGGCAGCAAACAGCTCCTGGTAGGCCGCTGCCACCTGACAGAGGCCACCCACAAAGCCATTGCCACCCCGGTCGGTGAACTCTAACACATCCGGCGCTGGTGGGGAGGGCCCCAGCTCAGTCTCCAGGCTGCTCAGTTCTTCCTCCAGCCGCCCCCGAGCATGTGCCAGGAACTCCTCGCACAGCTCCTCAGCCGGCTCACCCAGGGCCAGCAGCAACTCCACACACTCAGCCTGCTCCGGTGCACCCGAGCAACCTTCCCTATGGGGATGGAGATGCAGTAAAGACAGCTGGTGGGGTTCAGGGGAGACAAAACGTAGGGGCACTCTTATTGTGACTAGAGGGCAAGAATCGGGCCCAGAAAGCACACCTGAAGCGCTGCCGGAGCTGCTGGGCCAAGCGGGCTGTGATGACCTGGCAGTCATCCTGGATGGCACGGAAGGAGGGCAGGTGCTGGTACTGCTGCAGCACAGCCCTGGCGCGACCCTGGTAGCGTACAGCCTGCCCATAGGCACCCAGCTCCACACACTTGGTGAGGCGCGAAGGTAGCTCAAAAAGGAACTGCAGCTTCCGCAGCAGTGCATGCACCCCTAGGGGACAGGAAGGGCACGTGAGCTGCGGAGCTCTGGATGACTGACTGTAGGGCCTGGCCGTAACAGAGCCCACCTGCTAGCTTGGTGATGCGCTCGTGTCGGTCCTGTAGTGTGGCACTGATGCGTGCACTGAAGTTGGTGATCACTGCCATGTTGGTGGCCAGCCGGTCCATCTCGTCTTCCATCTTCCGGAAATCATTCTTCATCTTTCGAATGGTGTCTAGAAAAGCAAACACCCAGAGGGAAATGGAAATGACCATGGCAGAGAGGTGTGGCTCTCACCGATACCAGTGATTTGCCTAGAATGGCTTAGGTCTTGGCCACAGCATGTTTGGGGAAGAGGGTTATTATGATGGTGCAAAGGTAAGCTCTGCTTACCTCCATCCCTGGTGCAAAGGGGAGAGGGTGAGATGCCTTAAAATTGGAGGGAAAGTGTTTAAAAACAATAAATAAAAAGCACCCAGTCACTATCCTGACTGACTCCATTTTGTTCAAACTTTCTATTTTTCCTTCTTAGTCTCATTTTGTTCTGGAAGGGAACTGGTCCATGCTACCATCAGTACCCACCAGACCTCAGGGCTCCAGGACCCCTTAGCCTATAGAGGTTGTCACATGTTCCTCTTGTCCTTTCATATATAATCCTGGAACTATTGACTAGGACTCCAAAAGTGGAGGACCAGCTGTCATGAGCAGCAGAGCTGGAAGAAGGGCTATCCTAAGACAACCTA